TGCTTATGCTTTAATTCAAGAATTTATTTGTGTCTACAATTTTCTTTTCTCCATTGTGGGCATTCCTTCATGCGTTGGATATGATTACAAATAAACATAAAATAAGGACTCTTCGCACTGTCTGATCCAGAGGGCTAGGTGTACCACTGTCATGTTGCTTTTCTAAATGTAGTAATCAGAATTTTTGTTTTGTTTTGTTTCTAAAGACTAGAGTAACATGAGCAAACAATGAGAGAATTACTTTTTATTCTCTGAATCTGTTTACTATATAATTAACACCCAAATCCTACTAATTTAATCAAAGAGGGCTTTTATTGGAAAGATACTGTATCTTACAGAATACAAGCAAGACTTTACAAACTAAGTTGTGGTAAGGTCAGAGAGAAGGGTGTGTGAGTATTATTTTTTTCTGAGAGGTAGAAATTCAAACTACAAAGGTTCTGAACCTATTCCTGTAAGAGGCATTTTATAATTCAGTTCAGTTTAAAGAATCATCAGGCAATTTAATGATCTTGCCTGATCTATTGTCTTTTAGATCAGTGGTGAAAACCTTGATCTCAACTTGATTTAAGCAGCTGAGCTAACTGCAGTGTAATTTTTTTTCCTTCTTTTATTTAATATTTTGTGAAGGGAGTAGGTGGAAAATTATTTTAGTGGGGTTTTATGTGCTTAGTTCATCTTGTCTGCAACTAAAGGCAAACACTTGTTTTCACGATCTTGTGCTGTGTGGACAGTTGGAGAGTGTGTATGAATATTAATGACATATTTCAGTTTATTTCTGGTAGCTTCAAATTGGCCAGCATGCAGATTTATGGCCTATTTATGTGTGTGGTTCCTAATCTTTTTTATTTGATGCATGAGGGGAACATTTTCTTGCTTTTTTTTTTTTAAGATGTGTAAATATTGGTGAGAAATGGTATGCCATTGAAAACCTTGTGATTCACTTCTTTGGTTTCTTTTTCCTTATTAGCAGATCACTGTTCATCCCACTTTTGAATTCACCTTGCTGTGATCTACTGAAGCCCTTCTTGCCCAGGTCACCAGGACCTGTGAGTTGTGAATTTCTCACTTTCCCTACTCTGACCTCTGTGTATCTTTTGACTACTGACATTTTTTCCTTTGCCTTCTAAACTTTTCTCTGGCTTCCTTCCTTCTTTCTAGCCATTTCCTATAGTCTTCTCCGAGCTGCTCTTTCCTGAAGTGTGGATTCTGCCCCAAGTCTGCTATTCTTACTCTGCATATTTTCTCTGAGCGATCTCATCCTTTCAAGTATTTATACTTTTCAAATTTCCAGTTTCAGTTTTTCTCTTGAGCTGCTGTCTTGCATAGAACTACTTAAAGATGTGATCCCTTATACTTAACATATCCATTTTGAACCACAGGAGAGGGGTTAGACCTTCACTTTTCTCACTCAGCCACAGCTAGTGTTTTTTTTTTCTCCTTTAAACATCTATTTTGAGATACAATTCACATACCATACATTTTACTGGTTGAAAATGTATAATTCAGGGCTATTAAAATATATTCACAGGTTTTGTAATGATCACCATTATCCAGTATCAAAACAATTTTTTGCCCCTCAAACAAATCCCTTATATTTTATCAGTCAATTCTCACCCACTCTTAAGTAACCAGAACTGTGTTATTTGTCTGTATAACTTTTCCTGTCACTATTTTATATACATGGAATCACACAATATCTAGCCTTCTGTGACTTTTTTTCCGCTTAGCATACTATTTTCAAGATTTGGATTATTTTGACCTTTTCCCATTATTAATAATGTTGCTGTGAATGTTGTGCTCATATTTTTGTGTATATGTACATTTTAATTTCTCTTGACTGTATACGAAAAATGAAATCACTGAGTCTCTATGGTAACTATATGTATAGTGTTTGAGAATTTGCCAAGATATTTTCCATGAGGCTGGAGATTTAGCTCAGTGGCATAAGCACCTGCTCAGTTTGATCCCTGGTACCGATTAAAAAAAAAAAAGATATTTTCCACAGTGGCTGTACCATTTTATATTCCTACTAGCATTGTATGAGAGTTCCAATTTCTCTGTGAGCTTACCAATACTTTTTGTTTATCTTTTTTATTTTAACCATTGTAGTGGGCTGAAGTACCCTCTCATTTTTATTTTGATTTGTATTTCATCAGTGGCTAGTGATGTTGAGCATCTTTTGATGCTTGTTGGTTCTTTCGGTGGAGAAAGGCAATGGAACTTGAACTTGCACCATTCTGCTTCAGACTTTCAGAGTGCTGGGATTACTGATGTGTGTCACCATGCCTGGTTTCTTTGTCTCTTTTAAAATTTATTTTCACTTGTACAAGTTCATTATAAGAGTTCTATGGTTATCCTAGGTACAGATATTTTATAAGTTATAGGAGTTCTGTAGGTATCCAGGTACAAGTCCTTTATCATATAAGTGGTTTGTAAATATTTTCTCCCAGTTTGTGAATTTCCTTTTCACTTTTTTGTGGTGTCATTTGGAGCACAAAAATTTTTAGTTTTGAGATTGTAGCTGGCTGTCTTAATATTATTTACTTGGGTTGTGGTAAGACAGGAGATGTATTTTTTTTCTCTCTGAAGTGAGTGGAAAGCTCAAAGTAAGAGTTCCCAATGGAGACTCTCCATATCTGGCCTGTCTCTTCCTAGCTATTAGGTTACCTGTCTCTGTCTTTCCTGTGGCTGTAATGGCCACTATAGAGGAATAGGCTTATCTTGATTCTTAGGAGTGGCCAAAGCTGGCACTGTCTCAGCATTTTATCAAGGTTAGCAATTTCCATGATGCTAATAGATGCTTTGAATCTCATCTTATACCTCATTTCTCTTCTTAGTCTCTTTTCTAAATGGAACACTGCTCCTAACTACAGAACTGCTCTTGTCCTTAACTGACAGATAAAATATGTAGCCATAGAGCTCACTGATCCCGGAGATAAGCAAACAGCAGCACCCATGCATTTATAGGAGGTGTTTCTCTATTAGTGTTTTTGCATTATTATTAGTTTGTATCTAGAACTTCAAGGACATTTGAACACTAGTGTACTTCAGGCTTCAGAATATTGTGGATCAACATGCTTTATATATAGTCATTAGTTTTAAATTTTCTCAAGTAAGGACATTTGGTGACATAAGTATTACCATGACAAAATAACAGTACTTTTCCTACCATGAGAGTATAAAAAATATATGATTAAATAAATTTATCTTTTTGAAAAGGTAACATAGTGTTTTCATTTTTTCTTATTTTACTATCCACCTTTGAAAAATATGTATGGTCCATAGATTTTTATTTGGGAGCCATAGTTTTGCATAGCATAAATCTCTATCTGAAAAATAGAAACTTCACTTAATCCTGGATTTATTTTATGTATACCATGGATCAGTTTTACGCTGGTTATTTCCCAACTGAATTAACTATTTCACTGTTGTGTTTTGATACATCTTTCTGTATTTTGTACCCCTCTCTTGCTATTTTGAGGTTCTTTAATAACACATGAGAAAGAAGACTTTATAAGTGCACGTAATTATAAAAATGAATGATATTTAAAAGATTTTAGATTATCACTCTAAAAGTAGAATGGCTCCTATTTACAAATACAATATGTTATATGTAGATTATGTATGTTTTAGACTTGGGAGTACTATGTAAATTCTGTTGGTTCTGTCTCATCATTTAAAATGTCAAATTGATATTAGAATTTTATCATAAGATAGTTATGACTAGCACATTGGCACATTCATTTTAATAATTGGGCAGTAAAGAAGTCGTAGAAATAGACAATATGCTGTACATTTTGATGAGATTGTAGTTATAACTTCTTATTTATAGCAGTTGACATTTCTGTTAAGCTCTTATATCAAACTCTTTTGGTTTTGCTTTGTACTTTCCATGTTGGTTTAATAGGCTATTCAAGAGCTACAAACTGAGAGCCATACAATATACGGTACAATAAAGCTCACATTGCAAGATTTTGTGTATTCGTTCATGAAATACATATTAAATTCATTCAGCAAATATTTGGTAATCATTCATTCTAAGTACTTCTGAGCACAAAACAGTACTTCCCCTAGAACAAGAAAGAGAGGGAGAATATCTGTATATAAGTGAATATGACCCACATTTATTGAGCCACATATGTGAGCCACATGTGATAGGTTCTATGAAGGCAGGATTAAATACTGTCCACATTCAGAAGAAGAAATGATTTTAGGCAGGGGCGATTGTGAAGCTGTAAGGCATTATTACATTATGTCTGTGACAAAAAGCTTTGTGTTATCTCTAAGTATGCATCTACATTCAAAGTAGAGTGGTAGTGAGTGGCTAAATGCACTGACATGAAAATCAGCTTTTGCTCTAGGCCCTGCTGCTTGCAACCTCATTTTGTGTCCTTGAGCATATAAAATTGATGTGATAATATGTGCCCAGCATATCTCACTATGATAAATGAGATAATGTGGATGACTAACCTGTTTCCTGCAGTGACAGTCAGATTACTTGGCATGTATATATTTTGTTTTCCAGGCACCTTAGGCCATACATTTGAATGGTAGTAAGCACAGCTTTCCATGACTAAAAGGTTTAGTACTCTTACTAGCCCAGTTTATTGCTAGGGAATAGCATACTCTGCTGTAACATCTGAACTCTGTCTGAAAAAAGTGCATGAATTTCTTAGGCTGCCTATATGAATTTAGAGCAGTAATACTATTAATTACTGAAATATGTTAAAGAAGAAACGAATGTCTACTGTGCTGTTGGTTTAGGTTTACAATTTATTTTTGAATTTTTAAATCAGTTCCATTTTATAGCAGAGTAAAATGAGGCTTGGGTAAGTTTTTAAAAGTTGCTTAGGTGTTAAAATTGTTAGACTCACATCTGTTGAAATGTGGTATGTTGAAGTATACTATTGTTTTTTACCTTAGTTTGATGTTTTTCTTTCAGGCCAGTGTAAAACATCTGTGTGCATGTTTATGTTATTTGTTTGTTTTGCCACTAGGTTGCTTCTAGAGCTGTTGGAGCTACTGTTTGACAAGTTTAATGCTGTAGCCTCTGCGCACTCCGTGGTCCTGGGGTATCTGCAGGATGCTGTTGGGATTCCGCCGACTCAGCAGGAAGAGATCAAATTGTATGATATGGCAGATGTGTGGGTAAAGATCCAAGATGTGTTGCAGGTAAGGGCTTTTTACCAAGGGTATTGAGGACAATAATTTGGAACAGCAAAAACGAAAACAAAAACAAAAACAAAAACAAACCAACCACCTAAAATATTACCTTATAGATCATAAACAGGACAAAGTAGTGTTTCCATTCAGAGGTGATAACTTCTGATATCATTAACATACCATCTTCAAAGCCATTTAACAAGCTTTCTTTAAGCTAGACTTTAAAAATAGTATATTCTTAATATGTAGAAATTAAGGATGTATGGTATCTGCCTTTCTATTCTAACGTGCTTTATTTCTCTGACTAAGCATATATGAAGGTAGTAAGTATGAAATGTTAAGTCTGTTTTATAACACTTAATTTTATTGACTGTTCCCTTTTTACTTTTTTGTATATATTGGGTTAAATGAAAGATCAAGAGCTTATTCTGAGAGATGAGAATAAATCAGTAGGCTATAAATGTATCACTTTGATTGATTTGTTGAAGACAAGAATTATATTGTAGTTTGCTGAAATGGCATTTAGAAATTGTATTATAATTTCTTTCCATGTGTTCAGTGAAATATATTTGACTTGGGCAGATGAAAATTAGAAATACAATTAAGAGTTAGCTTAAGCAAGTTTGACACAGCTAAATATAAGTGACTTGATTAGGTAGAACCTACTAATATGAAAAAATTAAGTATATGTAGGGAATTGAAAAATGGAACTGTGTGGGAATGAAATTGCTTGTATGCAAATAGAAATCTTTGCAATAAAAAATAAATCATGAATGTAAATTACAAATTTAGAACAGAGGTATACTTCTGGTGGATTGAATGATTGATTTTTGGATTCTCAGACTTTTTTGGACAGTGATTTTTTTATTGATACATTAGTAGAAATAATCTGGGTTGAAACTACATTTTTTGAGATTTTTTAATCAACTGTTATTTATTATGTGCCTATCGCAGGGGCTTGGCTAGTTATTTAACATTCTGTATCTTGGTTGTTAATTTATTATATGGAAATGACATGAGACTTTTGTTATCATCTGTTTATTTTAAGGATAAGATAATAGATTTTAGAGCTATTTAAAAAATAGCTAGAATTAGGAATTTCTGATTGTGGTGTGATGAAGTTACCTCTTTCTATAAGTAGTGAAAAAAGTGAATGGACTCGGGTAACACAGAAAGAGAAGAAAACTCATGAGGTGAGCGCCACAGTGACCTCTCCTTCCTCCTGGAGCACTCTCCAAACTCCTGCAAGGGCTAGTAAAATCGAGAGGCAGCAATAGATTCTCTTAGCAGAGAAAACAGAGATTGAGGTTGTAGACAAAACTGAAATGTGTGGACAAGGATACTGAAGATGAGAGAATTCTATGGGAAAGGAACCCCAGAAAACTTTAAGAAGAATGCGTTTGGGCTCTTTTATCAAATACAAAGCTGTGCATACCACAAGGTGTAGCAGAAAAAAGCTGTTATAAGACTGAGCTGAAAGGAGGTTCCTAACGAATGGAAATGTTGGAGTTCAGATCAGCCAGTGTGGTAAGAGCACATGAGTCCCCTGTAAGTTAACTGTCTAACAGAACAAAACTCTAAAAGTAACACAATATGACCAGATTATTAATAATGACATCTACAGTGTCTAGCATATAATTATTTCATGTGAAAAAGCAAGAAAACATGACTCATCAGTAGGATTTTAAAAGCTGACAAAAATTAATATCTCAAATGAAAAATTTATTAGATGGGCTTAGAAGCAAATTGTATAATATTGAAGGAAAGATCAGGGAATTTGAAGATAGATCAGTCCATCCAAACCAAAGCACAGAAAGAAAATGGACCAGAAAAAATGAACAAAGTGATAGTATCCTCTGGGACAATATCATGCAGCCTGACAACTGTGGGATTGCAAATATAGAAGTAGAAAAAATAGAGATTAGAGAAGAAAAATCAGAACAAATAGTGATCAAAAATTTTCAAATTTGTTGAAAAATATAAACCTGCAGATCCAAGAAGCTCAACAAATCCCAAGCAGTGTAACACAAAGAAAATGAGCACCTAGACACATCATTAGCAGGTTGTTGACCCCACCCTCCCTTTTTAAAAATAGCTAAAGGGAAAAAGGACATAATACCTGCAGAGAAATAGGGGAGTCATAATGGACCTTTCATTGCAAGGAATGTAATCTAGAAATCAATGAATGTAATCTTGAAAGTGCTAGAAAATCTGAAAGTTGTCAGTCTAGAACTTTGTGTGTACTGAAAATATTCTTCAAATTGAAAATAATATAGAGCCATTTTCCAGTGAGCTAAAGCTGAAAGAATTTGTCACCAGTACACCTGCATGTCAAGAAATGTCATAGAAACTGAAGGAAAATGATACTAGATGGTAATTCAGATCTACAGGAAAAAGTAAAGAGAGCCAGAAATGGTAAATATGTGGCCAAAAGTAGAATAGTTTTTTCTCATTTCTTAATTTTTAAATTTTAAAATGGAATTTCTTGATTTATGTTTACAACAACAATACATGTTGGTTTTATGTTTAAAATTAACTGCACCAAGGATAACTGCTTGGAAGTTATCCTAGATAACACTAACTGCACCAAGGATAGAAGTAGAGTAAATGAAGCTGTTATTTCAGGTTTCTTACAGCATACATGAAGAGCTATAACTTTTAGGGGAAAGCATTGTAAGTTAAAGATGAATAATTTAATCCCCAGAGCACAAAGACAGTAAAATGAAGTAGAAGTAAAAAGTCAGTGAAGGGAGCACAGGTAAATGTTGAATAAATATTTAGTTAATCCAAAGGAAGAAAGTAGAAAATGAGGAAGCTAAAAACCGAACTACAAAGAAAGAAAACATACAGAACAAAGCAAAGGTGGGAAGCAGAGAACACAGATAGCAAAACGTTAGATTTATACCCGCATATAAGTAGGTCTAATAAACATAAATTACTAAACTGTAATTAAAAGGCAGAGATCATACTGGACTCAGACAAGAAGATCCAACTGAGAAGTGTTTATATTATAATTTGAAATGTTAGGAAAGCTGTAATAAGAACAGGACCAGAAGACCCTCATGTATTTCTTTATTCAAATCTATCTATTGTTAATATTTTACCACTTTTTAAATTGTTTTTTTTTTCTATGTACACATGTATTCACACAAATGTTTTTGTTTGAAAACTTGATGGCTGTTGTCTAATGTACTGTATAATACTGCTTTTGTCTTAATGACCTAATAATGTTCTCTCTACATAGCAGTTCATTTTGCTCCTGCAACAGGAGGCCAATCTTGGATCAGGAATTACTTTTAGTTTGCTATAAATTTGAAATTTCCATTCCTTTTGAAAGTTTATGATAATGGCATTTTGAAAAATATACTCCACTCATCTATTTGTAGATATATATGCCACTTCCAAGATTTAGCTGATAGGAGCTGTGCTACTTGGACACAGGTGTGCATGAAGTCTTTAACTTTTTTGGGGAAAATACCTGAAACCGTGATGTTGAGTGAAGTAGCCGATACAAAAGCTTAAATATTACATCATTTATCATATATGAGAAACCCAACATATAGATAAAGAAAGAAAAAAGATCATGGGAAGCAGAGAGAGATCTTTTGCAAAGGGAAAGGGATCCAAGAGATGGAGGGAGGACAGAGAGGATGAAAAAGGAATTAAGATTTGCTATGCACATGTACCATCTCCCCATGAGGAATGTAATTATTATGTACTATAAACATTTGCTAATAAAAAATACAAATGAAACAAAAAAGACATTCTTGGCCTTAATACTACTTTCTCATTTTAGATTTAAAAGACATATTTTATTTTTTAGTTAGTTTTTGTAGTACTAGGGATTGAACCTACTCTTTACACTGGGCTATATACTACCCCATGCCTTATTTTTCAATTTTGGGATAAAATCTCACTAAATACTCAGAAGGGACTTGAACTCTGAATGTTCCTGCCTTAGCCTCCCAAGGTGCTGGAATTTTGTGAGCACCACCATGCTTACCTTAAAACACACAGTTTACATATAAAGCTAAACGTAGATTAGAGGTGAATGAATGGAAAGATATATATCATTAACTACTAGCAATATTACATAAACACATCAGATTAGTGTGTAAATTATCAAATAGAAGTATTTATGTCATAGTATTTATGACATTTAAAACTTGAATACATTAAGCTTTAGAAAATGTGCTATAAGTCTATGTTATCCTACTCCAGCAAGATTATAAAATATGTTCTAGATAGGTTTGTGTGATCCCTATCTTTTGCTAGCTTAGACTAATATTCTAAATTCAGCAGAACATGGAAATCTATTAGGATCCTATTTATAATACTATCATGAATTAATTATGGTTATGAGTGATGTAAGGTATTATGTTTTTCTTCACTTATTTTGGCATTGTCAAATATATATACTTCCTATGCTTTTTGGAAACAGAAATCTGTACTTTAGGGAACTTTGAATTCTATCAGACATTAATAGTTGAACTGTATAAATGATTAAAAATGTGTATTTCTGGTTTATCAAATGAGTCATGCTTTTCATATATGCAGGGTAAAAAGTGATTTGAGGAAAAGATTTTCATGTTATGAAACGATTTATTTAAAAAATTTTATTGAGATATAATTTACATATTATGAAGTTCATCCATTTAAAGTATAAACTTCACTGCTACTTACTGCAGTTGTTCAGCCATCATAATGTAATTTTGGAACATTTTTATCATTGTAACAAGAAACCTTATTTTTATTAGTAGTCACTTAATCATTCTTTACTTCCTTAGGCTACTAGGTACTCATTGTTTCAGAAATGAGTTATTATTTTTTAAAATCCTGCATCCATAGTCTTTATTGTCAGTTCAGTTTTTTGGTTTCCTCTAATATGGGTATATGGACATTTGCAATTTAAGAGAAGGTAAACAAGATATGTTTATGAAACTGAAGAGGCATCAGTTGTGTGTTATATCTGTCAGTAACTCGTAGTCTCCAAATTATACACTTGACAT